CACGTTTGAATTAAGTTTTGTATCGTTTGATTTTGGTATTCGATTACAAATTGGGTTATTCCGTATTCGACCCACGACAACTCAACCCACTCATTATTTTTTCCTTACTCAACCCAATTTTGTTCCTTACTCTACCCACAACAAATTTTTAATTTCATGTTCCTTATTCACCCCAAAAACATTCCTAGCTCAACCCATTTTAAAGCCACTTCAAAAATATAAGATTTTTATGCACGGTCAGAATAAAAATATATTTTTTAGAAATTAAAGCTCAGTTAACTTTTGTGTTAAGATCGCTCTATTAAATAAAACTGCAGGAGTTCTGATACAATAATATATTTGGAAAACGTTTTTCACAAAAGGACACAAATCAAATAATGACTAGTTAAAATCTACTATAAATCCACTATAAATCTACTATAAATCAAACGACTGTAATTTTTTATTAAATCAGTATAACCAAGCTATGGCGTATAATTTTTTCCTCAGACACTTGTTCATAAATGTCCAAAAATTTAAATAATACAATGTGTTTTATCTTTTTTTTTTCAAGCTCATACCGCTTCTTGAATAAAATGACAAAAGAAAAATAATAAAAGTATTCATGTTGTACAGTGTCCCCAAAAGCTCGGACCATGGTTGTAAAATGAAACACTGATCCAAGTAAAGTGAAGTATATTGATTTTTTTTTTTTTTTTTTTTTGAAGGGACGCGCGCTGGTAGCTTGAGGAGCTTTTCCAGCTTCACCGGGCAGAGTGGCGAGTACAGAAGGTACTCTAGCCGTTAGGCGATCGTCGGTGCGCGTGCGTCGCGAACGTCGGTCGCAGACCGACGTTCGCGATCGGGCCGTATCGAGCGCATAAGGCGCCCGATCAGTGGCGAACCCAATTAGAGGGTTGCCCACCGCGGTGTTGGACCAAAGTCCAGCCTACGGCGGGCTCACTCTAAGTGGGCCCGATCGAGGGGACTACGGACGCGGCCTGAGGGCGCCACGGTAGGCTCGGACCTCGGCTCAGGCCGTGTCCGGGGGACGGATAGGGGGGAACCGGCCCGGTACATGTCTGTACCGTCCGAAATGGAAAGCAGGGCCTCGTACTCGCCGGCGAGTACGGTGTAACGAGCTACTGTGTTGTGGAGTAGTTGGCGTGCTTAACACCTTCGCTGCCAGCCTAAAAATGGCACTGTTCCGTTCGGGCCATGGGGGACAATGATGGGCGACACTTTAACTTTCCGTTCGGGCCGCGTCGGACAATGATGACCGCGAGTCAGACCTATGTTTAAACCTCTGTATTGAGCCGATGGACAGCATTTCTTCAATAATTCTCATATAAGCTGACCCGCGCGGCTCCCAAGATTAGTGTACGTCACTTGGTTCTCAGGTAAAGCTCGGACTTAGAAAAAAAAATGTGGATAACGGTAGCGCAATGAAACATGGTAATTATCCAATGCATTTTTGCAAATTTATCAACTTTTTAGCAAGATAATAACGGTTTATTAATTAAAACATATCGTTTACTTATTTTATATAATTTATAATATGCAGGACAATAAAAAAAATCACTTTCATTGTTGAACAACCACTTTGTATGAAGGGTTGGTACAGGTACTAAGTTCTTTGTACAGCTACAAAACTTATGCCATTTAAACGGAGGCTAGGAGCCTCACTTGCTACCGCAAAGTTGCGAGTAGCATTGATCTGCCTGGGGGCAGAGGGGATGGGGGCACGCGGCTGAGTGCGTGGGGCCCGGGGACAACCGCGATAATTCGCAGGATGACCCTGGCTACCACACAGTATGCAGCTCGGTGGTTCGGTGGCTGTGGCCTTGTCACGGACACAGTCGGCTGTGCCGTGATCGCCTAGGCACTTGACGCACCTAGGACGGGCGTGACAATTACGGGCAGCGTGCCCGTAATGTTGACAGCGGTGGCACTGGCCGGGAGCGCCGCGCTTTCGGGGTGGCTCAACTTTGAGCCCGGAGATGAAGCAAACCGTTTTCAGATTGAAAATCGATTTCGCTTCGTTGGAATAGTCCAAGACTACTTGGACAAGGTCAAATGGCTCGCGTGTACGAGTCCTGTACAGCCGATGAACCTGTTTGACGGGAAAGTTTTGTGCCTTGAGGTCGGCCAAGATGGAGGCGGAGTCTAGCTCCTTGGGAATGCCACGGATAACAACCCGCAGCTCCCTTTCCTCCTCACGGGGAAAAGTATGATAACCGATACGGTTCTCATCTAGGAAGCGGGTTAGGGCTCGGTGCTCGTCCGAGGTGGACAAGGACACCTTAATGCCTACATTGCACGACTTAGCGTGCGAGAAATTGATGTGGCGCTCCTTGAGCGCGCCGGAAATCTTGTTCCAGGACGCCTTGTCCTGGACAAAGACCGGGGGGACTCTGGCAGTCCGTCCGGTGCTCGACTGCGAGCCGGAGGGCTGGGAAGATTGCGAGGGCTGAGAGAGGCCCGAGTTGGCCTTCAGCGCCTTCGCAGGGGGGGAAGGAGGGGGAGTGGCCGCGGATTTGCGGGTCCTCTTCGAACGACTGACGGTGGTGAAGCCATCGTCGTCGGCGTCCAAGACGGGAACATCGCACTCCATGTCCCTACTGGGGGCATGGGATTGGTGCTCTATGATAATAGAGTTCTCGTTCGTGAGCGGGATTGGTAGCGGGGCCGAGTTCGGATCGCACATGGCGTCCTCGGGACATGAAGGGGAAGCAGGCTCCTCATAGACGGAGCTTGCGAGGGACTTTGCCCGTATGTGGGCTTTAAACCCGGAGAGGACCTCCGGGTGAGTGGCCCGGAGGAACTTTAAGAGTTCCTCCGTGTCCATGGCATGGAGTTGAGTTTCGCGACGCGTGAATCTACGCCGGTTCGCAAGTCGCAACCACCGAGAAGAGCCGGCAAGAAACTCGGTGGTTATAGCGGTGTGTAAGTCCCGCACAGTCGGTGTAAACCGTGCGGGGTGAGTGGGAAAAGTGTGCCCTAACCAATGTAACTACGCCGCAACGTAGCAACGCCGCGACGTAGGGTGAGTACCTACTCCTAGCAGTCCTTCAGGAGGGCCCCGGTCGCAAAAACAACCAGGGATACGCTCCTTCAGGGATGGAAAGTAGGGAGGGGTAGGGGGGTCACGCCCGGCAGTGAAAAGACTGTGAAACCGAGTGTCTCAAGGGCGAGGAGGAACGCCTCACCCTCTCAAACGTGCCTTCCAGGAGGCCAAGGTTCACAGCCTAATATACCGGCGGCGGCAGGAAATTTCAGCGCCTTGAAAAAGGCACTGTCGGTCGCTCCCAATCGAACCGAACCGCCTTTAGAAAGGCGTTTAACTACGCTTGTTCGTTATCACCGTTAGGTATCCCAAGCGCAGCCGCGGGCAAGCCACGTAATTGTGACAAAACACCACAGAAACAAGACTCGCAGAGCGAGGGCGATAAGCTCGAGGAACTCGGAGCGCAGCGCATGGGAGCGGGCGGGCTAGGCGGAGCGCACGTCCGTACCGTGCGAGCGATGCGAAGCGAATCAAGTATATTGAACCTTAACGTTTTAACTTAAATAGCCAGGAAAAAATCAAATGATATCGCGATTTAACGAAGCACATCGCCATCTAGCTACGCAATTTCAGAACCTACGACTTTTGACATTTTCCATTACTATTTTCTAAACTATGATAGACGCAATCTCAAACACATGTGGACAGCTAATCCCGCGGTATAAGTTTTGAGCCTCTTAATTTGTTTATGTATTTACCTTAAAATAAAATAAAATTTTTGATATATTTTAGTTAATAAACATAAATGTACTCTATCTATAATTTTTTCATGTAGGTGATGTTTTTTATTTTTTTTATTTAATTATAAATAAATTTACATACTAGTATGTGTTTATCATTACTAAATTTCTGAAAAAACAGTAAACGTTGTTTTGCTATCCATACTTATTTTTGGTATATTTACTTTGGGTTGAGTAAGGAATGCATTTGGGTAGAATAACGAAATTATGTAATGGGTAGAGCTAGATTTATATTAATTTGGGATGAGTGAAGAAATAGGTTGAGTTGTCGAGAGTCGAATACGGAATAACCCTACAAAGGGTTTACAAATTTTGTTTATTCAACGAGCAGCCCAGATAATTGGGCGTTAACCTTTAAGGGTTGGTCACGTGGCAGACGTAAATGACTTGTGGCCGCGTGACCAATCCTTTTCTCTTAGGCAAAGGTCGAAGGTTCATTATTTTTTTCTAATGTATCCGCTCAAGACTGATCGTTGTGTAGTAGTAGAGTTTCGGAGCCTATTCAATACAAACAAACACATCTTTTCTCTTTATAATATTAGTGTAGAAGGTTAGACTCACCTTGAAGCGATGATCCTGGGATCCATATTATAAAAATCGGAAAAGTGATTTAGAAAATTATTTACTTAGCAAAGATTTACTGCACACCGGCATTCTGTTACAGTCAAACCAGTTGTATTCTTTTCAGTTTAAGTAAGACATTGAAGGCCTTGCCGATTCATCGCATGAATTGAATTACGTTATTGTTGTTTGATAACACACTTGAAATCCGAGGCTTTTATTTCGATATTGAGATGTACTATGACCTCTCTACCCGCAGTCTCTTCAAACTGGAGGTCTAAGTAACTTGATAAAATTTAAGCATACACATACAAGAAGTGAGAGGCAAAACTCTCCATGTCAAATTATAAACGCAGTAAAACGTCCCCAAAGGATTGTCACATCCTCAAATTGTCCAAAACTAAATTTTCATTATCACAAGGTAACAGTTTTTGAAAGTAATTGCAACGTTTTGACACTGATAACAGCATTGAAGACTACTTACCCAAGTTTTGAACGGTACATTACTTCAATACACGAACGCAGACATTTTAGCGATAAGTTTGTTCGAGCAAAATCACGTTGTTCCAATTTTGGTTGCAAAATAACAAATTAATATAAATAGGTCGGTGTGTCTTTCGGAGAATCACTCCAGTTCAGCAATTGGTACAGCAATGGCTTCCTTCTCTTTCTTGGTCCTCTGCATCGAGGCTTTCCTCATCCAGGTATGGTATTATTCAGCAGTAATTAGTCTAATAAGGTCTCTCGCAAGGCATGGTATTTATCTTAAGTAGCCATCAGTATAGTAAGGACTCTCTAAGGGCACCATACTAAGGCCTTTTTAAAAACAAATGTAACTAACGAATTTAAGAAGATAGCTGTAGTAGCTTATCATCATAAAGGTAGCAGGTCGCTACCAACAGGTTAACATGGAAATCATCCGGGGAGGCTTATGTTCAGCAGTGGACGCCCTATGGCTGAAAATGATGATGATGATGGTAGTACCTAGATAAAATAAACGGGAGATCGTTCTTGGACTCTCAATGATGATCTTTGGAAGGAGGATTACATCCAACGGTCATCGTACTCGTATTCTTCATCATCTGAAAATCATGTTCTTGATGAAAGTCCTTTATTGATGATGATTTGTCTTCATTTCTCGATGTACGGACGACAGTACATCAGACTGTAATTTTTTTTTGCAAAATAGCCTGTATTACGATGAGATAAGATCCATTGTATTTAGCTCGATGAGCACAATCAACAGTGGACTATTATTGATAAACTATTTCCATTATTTCCAGAATGCCTTCGCCCAATTGACGAGCATTTATGGCCGCCCAGAGATCGAAGTGAACGCTCTTAGCTCGGGAGCTGCTGGCCTCATCGGTTATGGCCTTGGCTCCTCTGGCTACGGGCTTGGCGGCGCCAGCGCAATTGGCTATGGCAGTGCCAGCGCAAGTGGCAGCGCCAGCGCTGTTGGTTACGGAAGCGCTAGTTCTGGTGGCGCCAATGCGATTGGATTGGGAAGCGCTAACATTGGTGGCGGAAACTTAATCGGTCTTGGCAACGCTAATGCAATCGGTCTTGGCAGTGCTAATGCAATCGGTCTTGGCAGTGCCAATGCAATCGGACTTGGCAGCATCAACGCTGGTGGCTGGTCCGCAGGCAACGTTGGCAGCGGCTTCACTGGCGGATACGCGCCCTCAGACGTTGCCGCCGTTGCCGCTCTGCCAGTCTCTGGCCCGTACGGCGGTACTGGCTACGGAGAGTTGGCTGTGGGTGGTGATCTTGGAGCGTATGGTACTGCCATCGTGACTGGCCAGCTGCCAGTGCTTGGCGCGGTGTCTTTCAATGGCAACATCCCCGCCAGTGGCGTCGTGTCCATCGCTGGCAACTGCCCCTGTGGTGGCGTGCAGCTGTAAATAGCTTTATTGTAAATAAATATAATTTGTATTTGAATTTCTGTGTATTATGTTGAAAATACTTTTCCTTTATCACAATTTCATACTCGTCAGAACCTACCTAACTATGTATAATTATTATGCTGGCTTGCAACTAGGCATTCTTAAAATGAGATGCCCTTTATTTGACCATTTTCTTTCCGGTTGCAAAGAAAATTCTTTTAGTTTGTAGAAAGGAAAAGCCGAAATCGAATGAGATAGAGGAACAACAAATTCTACGCTAAGTACTGTACGGCTAGCACGAAAAACTGTCGAGTTCAAATCGTTTGCGTACTCGAATCGCCATCAAAAGATTTAGTAAGAAAACTACAACAGCGCCCTTGTGAACGTGTCGTAAAGTAAACTTAGTATGAGATGTGGTTGCACGAAACTTATTTTGAGAATCAAAATTGTCACGTTATCGTTTAATTCGAAGATTGATTATCGAATTTTATCGAATACGCAAACGATTCGAAGACGAAAGTTGTTCATGCTAGAGGTACTGTGCATGAAAACTGTTAGGGAGGAGCTAAAGCTGACAAGGAATAAATATAAAACGCGACTGGAAAATCATCCAAATCAATTGGCTACTGCATTGGCAACCATCAGCTACACTAAACGACTGAAGCACCACAATGTACTTGGTGACAGATGGTGAATGAGGAGTATCTTGCTGGGGACCTTAAACATGTTAAAACTGCATGGAACAAATCTGCTTATAGTTTGAGACTGATTGCAGATGAGCGCAAAAAAAGTACTTACTGCTAGAGTCTCGATAGTGCGTATCACGATCCAAACAGCAAAAATGGCACAAAGGGGCTTCCTTAACATTTCATGTGTCCTTTAGGTACTACCCAGTCAGCAGTCGTCAGGTCTTTTTTTCGCCCCATCCTAACCTGTGCCTGGACCCTGCTTCTACTGCCCTAGTTATAGCACTGACTAGATCTAATGTCTAGGTCTTTAGGATTGTCAGTAGCACAGCCATACCCACTTTTAATCATGGCACTTATAGCTTATGGTCTGAAAAAATCCATACAGAATATCTTTGCGCATCATTATGTTGACTTACATCGTAAAGGTAGCAGGGAAGCGCTGGACGCAGGCTGCTACCAATCGATCAACGTGGAAAGCATTAGGGGAGGCCTATATTCAGCAGTGGACGTCCTATGGCTGAAATGATGATGATGATGATGACATAGAGCCATCCGCTTTGCACTGGAGGAGTCGAACCTTAACTTCGAACTCTTCCTACGTCCTTCTGATAAATTTCGTTGCGGATCCAATGACAGTTTAACTTTCCCTCGGGACAAACTTGACCTTCACTGGTTGGGTTATTGGCGGTCAAGCTGTAGATCCTGGCTACGAAGGAGTTGCAGCGGTGGGAATAGTCCCGTTACTTACCTTCTAGTACCTTCTTGCTAATAAAAATTACACGCTCGTCGACAGTGTTTTAAAGTGACTTTCAGCATGGAAATGCCATTTTAAAACAGTGTTCAGCAAGCATGTACGTACCTAACTTTTTATTAGTAAGGGGGTTATAATATTTACATAAAACATAACCTTACACTAACTACATAGTAAGTGCTAGATAGTTTCTATTCTATTAATTTCTATCAAAATACATACCTAATACTCGTAATACATAATTATTCAAGTTCACTAAGTGCGATGACATGCGGGTCGTTAACTCGTTACGTTACAGTACTTCAAGTTCAATGAAAGGACAGTGCCAATCCATGTATGGAAGTTGGACCAAGTGCTGCCCAGAATGAAACCATAGTGCATTTTGTTCCTCAAGCCAATACTAATGTGTAAACCGAAGCGCACTGAAATCTATCCCTGGAGTTAAGAGAAAAAAGAGTTGTTTTGAATTATTTACATACAAAATATCATCGATATATACGTACTACGCATAAGATTTCACGATTTTGGCATTAAATAACCCTCGCTATGTTGAATTTAACCATACTGCATCCGTACACCTTACTTTAGAGCTACTTAGATATTCTTCATAAGCGATCTAGCGCTGTTGCAGTAGTTTGGTAAGTTGACAGAAATCATTATTTCCAAAATGAAGCAAGAAGTTTTAGCTAACAGTAACTTCAGTAATCGATTGTAATACACCAATAAATTGATTTTTCGCAAGGATAGAGAACTAAAACTTCTAGCTTCATTTTGGAAATAATGATTTCTGTCAACTAACCAAACTACTACAACAGCACTAGATCGCTTATAAAGAATGTCTAAGTCGCACTAAAGTAAGGTGTACGGATGCAGTATGGTTAAGATCAATAAAGCGTGGGTTATTTAATGCCAAAATCGCGAAATCTTATGCGTAGTACGTATACATCGATGATATTTTGTATGTAAATAATTCAAAACAAAACTCTTTTTTTCTCTTAAGTCCAGGGATAGATTTCAATGCGCTTCGGTTTACACATTAGTATTGGCCTGAGGAACAAAATGCACTATGGGTTGATTCTGGGCAGCACTTGGTCCAGACCCTGGCACCATCCTTTAAATACTTTAGGTACTTTACAAGACGTGAGAGTTGACGACAAAAAATACCTAAAATACCTAGGGAAAATCTAATTCGCGAGTTTGACACACGCGCGAGTTGACAAACAAGTAAAATCCGGACTTATGTATATTACAAAAATGTACTAACTACGTATTGAACTTTAGTTTACATGGGCAGAGTTGTGTTTTTCTTAAATATACTACGTATTTTGGAAACTACGCAACATCTTTTCGTCCAAAATACCTTAGTGCCTGAAGACGAAAGTCCACAATCAATGAGTGTTACCAGTGATGACTTTAATATGGCTCGGAAACGTGGCCTCTCACTATAGGCTTTATATTAATAAAGCCAATAAAATACAGAAGCTCAAAGTTGCACAGCGTGCTATTGGTGCTATGAAGAGGGCTATGCTCGGTGTTTCTTTACGAGATCGGAATGAGGAGATCCGTAAACTAAATAGATTTTCAATTTTTCTATGGTTAAATATGTGTTGCTCCAAACTGCATAAAATATTTTTGATTTTAATTTAATTAAGTTATAATGTCTAATTGGGTTGGTTGGATATCAAAAGAAAATACCATAATTATTTACAACTTACGCATTTATTAACAATCAACATTATTACTTTCTAGTAACGGATGCCCAAGTTCTGGGGCAGGCCTTCACTGGTGATGGCCACATCGCCACTGCCGCAGCCGCAAGTGGCCACGCCTGAGCCAGAAGTGGGCAGGGCGCCTTCGAAGGCCACAGCGCTCAAGAACGGCAGTTGACCGTTGACAGTGAGAATTCCTTCGATGACGTTCTCAGAAGCAACTGCCAGACCGCTAGGAGCGATGGGAGAGATGCTGGTCACTGTTAAGGGGGCAGTAGCCACGGTGTAGCCAGAACCGAGAGAGCTACCGGTGACAACGCCAGAGCCGAGGGAGCCACCGCTGACCAAAGAGCCACCGGAGACGATGCCAGAGCCAAGAGAACCACCGCTGACCAAGCCAGAGCCAAGAGAGCCACCGCTGACCAAGCCAGAGCTGAGGGAGCCACCGCTGACTAAAGAGCCACCGGAGACGATGCCAGAGCCAAGAGAGCCACCGCTGACTAAGCCAGAAGAACCGCCGCTGACAAGGCCAGAGCTGAGGGAGCCGCCACTGACCAAAGAGCCACCGGAGACGATGCCAGAGCCAAGAGAGCCACCGCTGACCAAGCCAGAGCCAAGAGAGTTGCCGCTGACGATTCCAGATCCCAGTGAGCTGACTGCACCACTGCTGGCGTAGGCACTTCCAGAACCGTAGCTGACGGTTCCACTGCCAAGAGAGCTGGCGCTCAGGATTTGACCGCACACAGACTGTAAATAAATAAAAGTTAATTTATTACTATGCTTGACAATGTTAAAATAGTAAATTATGCTTTATACATATGTGGATTAATCTTTGGGTGCACCAGCCCAAGACTGCTAGGAGTCGAAGAGGTCGCCAAAGTGGACTCCAGGAGACACTTTGGTGTCCTTTGATCACCTAAGTGATTTTATCCATGGGTGATCAAAAGACACCAGTGTCACTGATGACTTGATCACCTGGGTGATCAAAGTGGAGACCGATGAATCATCACATAGATGAAAACAAATGAAAGTAATAACTAATTTTGTTTACCTGGAGGAGAAGTGCTGAAGCACAAACAATGACGTATTTGAAGGCCATTTTGTTTTGGATACAAATATAAATTTTTATTTGTAAAGTTTGTATTGTTCTTGTCAACACAAGAATGATTATAATTAAATCAAACCCAGTCAAGGTTTTTATATTAAAACATTACGTTATAATAATTGACACACAATGTCAAGTTCATGTATTACATAAAATACAGTCAATAGCTTACATAAGCGTTGGAATTGCTGACAATGGTGATAATGATCACGTGTAGGAATTTTCACATACGATGCATTCTGCTTACACGTTTTTGTTATTACGTAGTTACTTGTATTGATTAGATAAAGATTAGATTTTAACTGATAAGGGGGCGTCCATTAATTACGTGAGACAATTTTGGCTATTTTTTAACCCCCCCGCCCCCCTTGGTGAGATTTGGTGAGATTTTGCCTGACCCCCTCCCCCACCCCCTAATCTCACGTGATATTTTAAAAAATCCGAAATTTAATAGTTCTGGAGTAATTTAACTGAGAAATATTTACTTGTGGTGCGAGGTTGCTTTATTATCTAATTTTCTTTATTTCGTAATTTATTATGCATTTTAGTGTTCACAAATGCAGTATTTTTAGTTTTATTTGTTTAAACGGTATAGAATAAAATGTCAATAACATCATAAAAAAAATATTTTTTTTACTGAAGAAAATCCTGTTTTCTGGCAATTTTACTCTATTTCTTGCGGAAAAAATTGATTGAGACAGCAGGTGATGTCGATGGGGCAGCAAGGTTCTGAAGTGGAGACCACGTACCGGAAAAAGCAGTGTGGGACGTCCCACAAGGTGGACCTACGACATCATTAAGGAAGGAGCTGGATGCAGCCGGGTGATGTGGAAATCATTAGGCGAGGCCTATGTTCAGCAGTGGACGTCCTGTTTCTGAAATGATGATGATGATGAAGACTGGTGATCATCTTGTCAGATGATAGCACATCAAGCTAAATGTAAAGCTGTGTCATCTGGAGTAAATAGATGCTAGGTATTTTTATAACAAACATCTACGAAGCCTCCCACAACCCGGTCGAGTTAACTGCACACCTGGCAGCCGTGACGTCACATCGACTCTCTGGTACGAACGGGGCGAAGTCGTTGAGCTATGTGGGTAAGTGGGAGGGAGAAACGCATTCCAGCGAGGTGCACATAGGGAGTCTGTCAACTTTATGGTGACACTCCATGATTTCGGGTAAACATGCTTGTGCTGCTTTTACCAATTAATTGGTCTCTGTCAAGGACTCCACCTCTTGTTGCCATCGATGCAACTCCAGTGTAGCCTATGTTTATAGCTTAACAGCCAACAAAAACCCAAGGAGTCCAAGAAATTTTCCTTGTCGCTACAAGATCGTTTAAAACCTAAGTTTAATTTTGTTACGTACGAGTATAGGTCACGTAATAACTATAATTGAATACTAAGAAATTATGTCAGCAGTACTGATGAAACTTATGATAATATTCGTTGTATTATTTTGTGAAATGTGTTAAATCATTTGTATAAAAACCATAGGTGTTTCTGCAAAAATCATATTACAATTGAAGCTTGCTTTGTTAAAACAAAAACTTCAAAATGGCAGCTAAAATTGTGCTGGTTCTTTGCGCTCAAGCTCTTCTTATTCAGGTAAATATTTTGACTAGAAAAAGAAAAGTTATTTTACATATTAATCCTACTACTATTACTATTTAAAACATATAAAAGTTACTCTTGGTCTGCGTCTCAAAGTGGTAATCAGGCCTATGGTGGAAACGAGCTTCACCTGGAATTCTCAAACACAAAGGAACTGGCTATCTTACCTTTAACTGACGAAACAGAATAACACCGTTAACATCGTTGTTATGGCCACAGGCTTAGATTAAGATCAAAGATGTTGGACATTCTTAGACTCTTAGAATAAGCTCAACAATCAACCCAAGATTTCAATGTGATATTTTATATGCAAAACTGTTTCTTTTCAGGCTGCGTTCTCCCAAATAGTAACTGGCAACTCGGCGTTTGGCAGCGGCGTTTCTAACGCATACGGGTTCGGCAGCGGCTTCGGCGCCATTTTGAACGCTGGCGCATCTGGTAGCTCCATTGGAAGCGGCATTTCTGGCATTGGCAGCTCCGTTTCTGGACCGCAAAGTCTTACTGTAGCCTCAGGAGGCCCACTGCTCGTGACCAGTATCTCGCCTATTGGACCCAGTGGCTTGGCGGTTGCTTCAGAGCACGCAATCGAAGGAATCTTGACTGTGAGTGGCCAGTTGCCTTACTTGAGCGCTGTGGCCTTCGAAGGCGCCTTGCCGACTTCTGGCTCGGGCGTGGCCACTTGCGGTTGCGGCAATGGAGAGGTTGGCATCGTGAGCGAAGGCCTCCCTGCCATTCAGCCAGCCAACGCTGGCAGAATTGGCCGTAGATTGTAAGCTTAATAGTAATTTGTTGATTTGTGAATAAAATTGTTGAAGTTTATTTTTATGTTTTGATTAAAATACACCTTAATACCTTCCTGTGTTAAACCTTGATGGAAGGAAAAAAAGAGAGAAAGATAAAAGATTTATTAAGAGAAAGAGGAAAGATAGAGACGAGTGAATTTTATAATATAACTCTCAAGAGATAATTATTATAGGATCAATGTCTAGGAGCAGTATGAGAGGCTGAAAAAATTTTATTTAGCAGCATCTTATTTAGTTGTAATCATCTTCATCTAACTCAAAGGTGACTGACTGACTGACTGACATAGATCTATCAACGCACAGCCCAAACCACTGGACGGATCGGGCTGAACTTTGGCATGCAGGTAGATGTTATGACTTAGGCATCCGCTAAGAAAGGATTTTACGAAACTCCACCGCTGAGGGGGTAAAACATTTTTGCATAAAAAGTGTATACTGATGTGCAGTTGTCTGTACGAGTAAATTATATGTATTTTAGTGACCAATAAAAAATGAAAATCTAGATAGGTATAAATCAAAAACAAAGATTTTAGAGAAAAAGTGTAGCCATATTTTAAGAAAACGCGTCAATATGAAATAGGTAGGTAGTAACAGAAAAAATCACAGGAAACAATTTTTGTGTTATTACGCTTTTTTAAACTGACTGAATTAATTTTGAAAGGGGAACATACTAAAGTTTTTCTGTGATAAACTAAACTAAATTAACACAGTAGGTACATGGACGAAGCTGCGAGAAAAAGGGATGGAAGTTGGTATGGATTTTCCCAGTATTACAAAAATAAATGAAATCCCACGAAAAACTATTTTCATACTAAATTGCTCTAGATTAAGACTAGTGAACGCCAGACCTAAAGTACGGCCAACTAGCAGAGCGATACAAAAGGTCGATTTGACTGTCGAGTTGACAATATTATATTCTGTCTCTTTCCATCTTGTGTATTTGTCGTAATGTCTCGTTCTCCCGCCAAAATATGTCAAAGTTAGACGGGTTCACCCATGACATTGGGTTTGTTTCCATTTGGTATCGCTTCTCGTTGGCCCTACTTTACATCATTATTTTTATAAAAGCTGAAAGTTTGTCAGCGCATGCTTCCATCCCAACTTCTTCTTCTTGTCCTGTCGACAAAAAACCTACACAGTGTTGGCAGCTACCCAAAGTCACAATGACCCAAACTTCATGATGCACCAACCGTCTTACCTATGTTGCGAGCATACGCCAGAAAACTGTCAGCTTTTATAAAACAACGTAGGTATGGAGCTTAAGGGGCCGCAAACCGGGATACCTAATTTCGAAAATACCGGAATACCGGGTTAAATTTAGGTTTAATTAATTTTGGTTCAAAAAATCCAGTAAATCTGGCAGTCGAAAAATCTAGTTTAAAACAAACACTAACAATTTTACCCCTCTCCCCTCTAAATACCCCAAAAATACCCCTGATCAGTGAGTGAGTCAGTGAGTCAGTGGTAATCGAGCTTTATACATATATTTTTTAGGTTTAATTAATACCGGTATTCATTTCACAAAAACCGGGATATTTGGTATTTTCGGTTTTAGTAAAATAAATAAAAAACAAATACAAATAGAAAAATTTACGCGCCATTAAAGGCTTCCACAGACCAAACGCGGGGGTCAGAAGCATTGCGGGTCAGTTGCAGCCACTTGCAGCGCTCTTTGGCTCTTTAGCTCTTAGTCTACTCGTACTGTGAGAACGCATGATACATATTATTTTGATTAAGGTGTAGAGTTAGGGCATGAGAGTTAAAAGCTTGACTCTACATGAGATCTGAATGATCTGATAACCTTTCATAGTGCGAATAATACGGTTCGTCTTGGCAACATTTTGCATGAAAATGTTTCTAGTGGGATTTGATTTTATGCATAAATAGGTAGTCACTCATTAAAGTCTTTGTACTAATTATTAAAAAGAAAGGCATTTATGTTCAGATTAATTTGAGGAGTTAACAGGAATTTAGGTTTGGAATTATCAAAAAATACTTCCAATATCGATTTTTTCAGGACTTTGAATGTACTAATAAGTAGATTGTAGGTTTTAGAATCTCATTTTTTAAAAGAATTTATCGTGGAATAACAAAGGGTTGTGTTTAAATGAAATGATTATGTAGATACCAAAAATCAACAATTTATTTACTATTCAACAAAATCTTATAGAGCATTAGCACATCCACAGTTGCCAGCGATGGACACAACGCCACTGGCTGGGATGCTGCCACTGAAGGACACCGTGCCAATGACTGGCACTTGGCCTGTCACAATAGTTTGGCCGGTCGCTTGCACCTCGCCCGCTACGGTCATCTCGCCAGTGCCAGTACCGCCGTACGGGCCAGAGACTGGCAGGGCGGCAACGGCGGCGACGTCTGAGGGCGCGTAGCCGCCAGTGAAGCCGCTGTTAACGCTGCCTGCGGACCAGCCACCGGCGTTGTTAATGCCAGTGATGACTTGGGTGTAGGCCATCTGGAAAAGAAAGTTAAAAATTAATCATTGTCATTATTGATAGGAGAATAACCCACTCTAATTTACTAGAGACTCAAATGGAGATTTAGCTCCTCCTAATCGCCAGGCCAGATGGACTGGGGAGGAATGTATTTGTAATTCCCGTAATATAATATTACCCGTAATATTTCCCGTTTGTGCAACATTTTTCTTTACTGTTCCAGTAAGGGACTAGTCGTAGGGTGGCCTAAAAGCCGATTATGTTTGTGTTCCATAAATGGGCTATCGAACACAAACATAATTTTTCAAATCGGACTAGTAGTTTCTGGGATTAGCGCGTTCAAGTAAACAAACAAACTCTTAACAATAGAATAGATTGATGCAGATATTATTTTACCTGGAGAAGACAAGCTTGAATGCAGATGAAAAGGACCTTGAAAGGAGACATTTTGTTGATTTTTTTAGAAAAACTAAAACACACACTTGAAGAATTGATGTTAGAATGGTGAAAAAAATACTTAACAGTAATTTATATCAACGCTTTCTCGACGTTATGAAATAATTACCTAATGATTAATAAATAAACTTCCTAGTAGTAGTGAGTTATGAAATTAAAAATTGTGTCAGTTGTATGATGTATGTAATATTGATAAGGATAAATGATTCAGTTTATTAGATTGGCAAGAGATAATTTACAAGAAGGATTAAATCTTTGTGCGATGTTACGTACAATCTGGTTGAGTTAACTGCGCTGCCGTGACGTCACATCGGCGTTGCGTCTTTCCGTTCTATACATGGCCAGAACGCACCCATAGGAAACTGCTCGTGTATATTTTGGAGTGCTCCTTTGTAAATCTGTTCCTACAAACTATACACGAATTTTGCGTACTGGCTGTGTATAGTTCGCATTGTGGATGCTTGCGGCTTCGATCCAAACTATACTACACTACTTACACTTGACATAAATAATATTATGAATTTAGTTTGATTTTGATGTAGTACCTAAAATATGGAATTCTATTTAAAGTGAAATGTATTTCATGTAACACATTATTATTTTACTGAATCAATATGAAACTATTTTTTTAACACTTGTAAGTAGTTTTTAACCAACTTAAAAAAAAGGTTTTCAATTCGATTTTTCTGTATGTACGTTACCGCAGAACTCCGTCAATTATGAACCGACTTTCAAAAAATTTTTTTGTTCGATAGGGTATACTCTTGAGGTGGTCCCATTGTCACCAAGTCAGGGTCTGATAATGGGATCCTAGGAAATCGAGGGCAACCCTCAAATTTTATAGGCACATATTATCATTTTTCATGTTTTATCTTAAGTCCTGAAAATCATCATCTCATATTGATGAGCTTCACTTATATTTACCACTTTTTATAAAATTAATTATGCAGAAACCACAGCAGAGAAGAACACTTAGATTATTGTCTGTCATTCGTTGCACTGGTCTGGCCTTTCGAAAGAGCGCATGTCACAAATCAATTGAAATCCAACCTTATCAAAAGGCAATATGATTTAAAGCTAAAATCTCGTTTTACTTACATTATTGTACTGCTACTCATCACTAGGTGACACTAAACACATGATTCAGTGTATACAACATCTAATGCAAAGTAATAAGGACCATAGTTGAAAATCACTGGGCAAATTACAAATTCCGAAGTAATAATTCCGCTACTCTACAGTAGATGTCACTAAAAATTTAATAGATTAAATTGATTATCTATTGCAAATGATTTAAGGTTCATAATTCAATGATCTCGGCGATAGAATGAATGTTGGGGTAATACACTTTATAAAAGGAGTATCGATATTTTACAAATACTATTTTGTTTGCTATTTTAGATAAGTATTGAGCTCTGTCTAAAAGAGTTTTCCATTTCCTTTAAAATTATGTTAAATAATAGGCCTGAAATTATTACTGCAATTTAATTGTCTGGATCTACGTATGGTCGAAAAATCGTTTGCAAGTTTTGAAAATTTACATTTATACGTACAAACGAATAGTGAAAGTTAAATAAAAGCTATTAATAAAAAACTTAACATAAAAAAGTTCAACGTAATAGGAAATGATTTGAATATATTTATAAGACACAAAAATTGAACTAGGAAAATTTATCTTTTAAGTCTGTCGTTACATTCTGAATTCTTATTCCTCGCTCATTTTGCTACTGCACCATAATAATTAAAATACATCACTTTATCGATAATTTGACGGGATCTACTTTAGGACATCCCTGGCTGAGTAGCGTAGCGAACGAAGCAGAAGTAAAAAAAAATTACATGCTTATCAAATTTTTTAAGATAGTCTATTTCTAGTGAGTTAAGAGAAGATTATTTTTTAAACGTGTGTGTAACACACTATTTGTCGTGCTTCCTTTACTAATTTTAATAAAACAATAAATTTATTATGTTCATTTATTTTTTACATTTATTTTATTTTATTACTACCTACTTATATTTATTTTAAACTTGTATGCACATAAAACAGTGTACATAAGGCGGACTTAATGCCTTTCGGCATTTTTAACTAAAAACCCTCTATCAAAATAACGGCACGTGCCGAAAGATGATTCAGTGTTTAAAGAAGATACGCGGATATTAATTACCATGTAATAGAAAGAGAGGTCAATAAATCAAAATGTCGAATAATACAACTACATACTCACATATTGTAATAGCGCACTCATTCCAACATTTTACGTCACGCATGATCAGTCCGTATGCGTACTGGCTATGTATATTACGGAATACGATCATTTACCTACGTCACTACAAACTATACACGGGTTTTTGCGTACTGGCAGTGTATAGTTTGGAGGAGCTTAGTAAAAAAAGTATATTCCAAACTATACTCGATTAGTTTCACACCCTTGCGTTCTGGCTATGTATAGATTGGAAAGACGCATCGGCGTTCTAGTAGGTACGGATGGAGCGAATGCGGGGCGGTGCGCGGTAAGTGCGAGGGAGAGTGCGTTCCCGCGATTCAAAATCAAATCAAAATTTTCTTTATTTGTTTAGACTAATTAAATTAGTTCTTGCAAATCGTCAAATGCTCTTAAGGAGTCATGTCTCATTCTTTTTTTGCGCAGTTAGCTCGATGGGGTATATTCAAGTATATTAAATTTTCAAGATTTTTTAAATAACTGAGTTGTCCGAATCCTCATAAGGTCAGTTAGTCTCCACTGCAGGATTATGATCCTCTCTAATTTACCAGAGGCAAATGGAGGATTGCGGCGTGGGACGTCCACCCACAAGGTGGACCGACGACATCATAAAGGTAGCATGAAGGCGCTGGACGCAGGCCGCTACCAACCGGGCAACATGGAAAGCATTGAAGGAAGCCTATATTCAGCAGTGGACGTCCTATGGCTGAGATGATGATGATGATGAAATTGAGGATGTCCCACAGGTGTCATGGAAAAACAAAAAATAACTTTATTTGCTTATCAATACGGTACATACTCGTACCTAAATGTAATACATAGTCTAACATACATAGAGGCTTGTATGTAATGATATTGTTGTGTGTAACTACCTGATAAATTATGAACCATTTTACAATATGACTTTTTTCAAGAAAATTACATAAACATTTCTCATGAAAGTAATATACCTACTGATGTCAAATTCATTTGTAAAGACAGGTATGCCTAACTCGATTTAATATGCACCTTATGTTTGTGTTATTAGAATCTTCTTTGCCCAAATCAACACTGAAGTTCTGCCTGCATTACATCACATTTCTAGAATTTGGAAACTCGGCCAAACAAAATTTGTCAATTACCTCAGATAGTTACACTCTTTCGTTATGTAACGAGTCGATAGCAAACAATGTTTTGTATAAATATTGTGTTCAAAATGATTCATTTAATTAAATAAACAAAAATGGCAGCTAAAGCTCTTCTTGTTATTTGCGCTCAGGCTCTTCTCATCCAGGTATGAAAATTATTATTACTTACCTGATGGTTTCTTCATCATTATCATCATCATCATCAGGTCATTAAATATTCAGAGCACGATCCTCACTAATTTACCCTACACTCCCCACATTGTAATAAAGATTCCGATCTTTAAAAGAAGAAAAACCTTACGGAATTACTATGTTTGTCATTAAAAAAGAAATAGATTCAAGCCCTAAAATGTTGAACCAAGGATGAACGAATGGTTGATCACCAGGTCTCTCTCCACTGTAAGAACTCTACCCTCTCCAACTAACCAAAGGGTAGAGGACGATTTGGCCTACACTCTCCTAAGGCAGGGTAGCCAAAATTAAATAATATTTTTTGTTTCCAGGCATCGATTGCCCAATCCATTTCAAGACTTTCTGGAAACTCCCTCGTCGACAACATTGTGATCGGCAGTGCCGCACCAAGCTATGGCACCATCAACTTAGGCGGCAGTGGCTTAGCTAGCGGATTTGGCAGTAGTAGCTTATACAGCGGCAGTTTGCTTGGCAGCAGTGGCTTATCCAGCGGCATAGTTGGCTCTGGCCTCGCCAACTCTGGCTCAAACTTGATCAACGTTGGAGGATCTGGTCTTACCGTAGCTTCTGGTGGACCTTTGATCGTGACTGCTATTTCGCCAATCGGCCCGAGTGGTTTGGCTGTTGCCACTGAGAATGCTATCGAAGGAATCTTGACTGTGAACGGCCAGTTGCCTTACTTGAGCGCTGTGGCGTTCGAAGGTGGCCTGCCAACGACTGGCTCTGGCGTGGCCACTTGCGGTTGTGGCAGTGGCACCGTTGGCATCACCAGCGAAGGCTTCGCTAGAGGTCGAGGCATATTGTACTAAGTTTTGTTGATTATTGTACATGTAAATAAATGTTTGATTTTCTCTTTATGTTTTTGTTTCTGTTTGTCATCTGGTAGATAGTGAATAACGTAGTTTGCTTTGTGTGAAGCAAATTCAAGGTGAATTCGTATCAATATTTCAACATAATGTAGTTTGTTTTTTGTTCGCTAACTTGTAAGGGTTTGTCCACACAGGACGGATCTATGTCAAAACACAACACTGTATCATCACTGGACATCAGGCAGGTATACACCAGAAACCTTCTCATAAACATTTGTTCAAGTAGGTAATAGAATTCGACAACTAATAAAATACCTCCAGAGGTCTGCAAAACTTAATACTTCCAAACATTTCTGTTCTAATTCAATACAATTTCTGATCAATACCTAACGAAATAACCCTGACCTCCGACCCACCCTGAGCAGGCATACCTTACTGCCTCGGTGGGTCCGGCTGGGAAAAATATTGTGAACAACATACTAGCATAAAGTGTTAATCATAAGTTCGTTAGGAACAGTAATAAATAAGAATAGTGTGGCTAAGCTGGAGTAAAAAAAAAATTGAAATAACTTTTATTAATAAATTTATGGGAAATCAGTATTTCTTTGTTTAACATTAAAATGTGCATTGCCTTGAAAGTGCAGCTATCGCATTGTGTGACTTGAACCTAATCGTTTCTTAGAAACCTATAAAAGGACCAAACGTGCACAAATATGTCACTATTTATTGTGCAACATGGAGAAGAGATTTTATTACGTTTTCGCGCTGGTCTTGTTTAAGGTAAATTATATTGAATTTTATTCGACTTTTGTACTCATCTTCTATTTTTTTTGCGTAAGCTATGAGTTTACAAAAAATTACAGCAGTGATGTCAGACTTATTTAAACTCATGGTAACTACATTTTGTGCTAGATTTTCCTAGGTATTCCCGTCGATGTCATAAAACCCGACTAAGGCACAAGTATGCGAACTTCAGAGGGCTTAGTGTGAGTTACATCAAACCTCTTCACTAGTGACTGCGTAAGATCCTAGCGGATATTTTCATGAACTAAAATCTTCATAGATTTATTAAACGCGCTCACTAGTGTCGACGTTTGATGTACAGATTTGTTTTGAAGCCACGATAGCCGAACGGTGAAGGGGTCGGACTGGCCGACTCGTGATCCGGGGAACGCGGGTTCGGTCCCCGCCGCCGCTCGACTATTGTGGTGAGCTCACTCGTGACACAAGCATATTTAGCTTAGTACGAGGGGCTAACGGGAGTATTAGTAATTTGTGTAACAACAAATTACTAATAAAAAAAAAATGTAAAGTCACACTAAGGCCTCAGCCTCGAACTTAGCGGGCAGCGGGGCGGGAGCGGCGGCGGCGCGGCAGCGACAGGATCTTACGCGTGAAATCAAATAGACCGGTTCTCGAAAACAGCGGCGCGGCAGCGGCGCCGGAGCGGGCAACGAGCGGGCAGCGGCGAGGGAGCGGGTAACGAGAGGGCAGCGCACTCCTTCTTTTGCTCACAATAAATCGAGCGTTAGGAATAAATTTGAATCGAAATAAAATTGTCGCCGTATGTGTTCAGACATTTCGTTTGCGAATAAAAAGAAAATATCTCGACAACACAACCCCGATCACAACACTTCGCCGCTAAAGCGCCGCGCGAGCTGCCCGCTTATTTCGAGAACGGGTCTGCGTTGCCCGCCCCGCTCCCGCGCCGCCGCCGCCGCCGCCCCGCTGCCCGCTAAGTTCGAGGCTGAGGCCTAAGCCGTCATTTGTCTTACTGACCGCGGGAGTAAAGTACCTACTTGGATACTTATTTCCGAAAAAGTAGTCTATTATCCTCGTTACTGTATAAAAATATTTTCAGGCGGTGCTTGCCCAAAGGCTCGGAATAAATCCAGCATTGTCTGCTAGAATTAGCATATTGAACTCTGGGGTTGGCGGATTAAATTCTGGGATCGGCGCTTTGAATTCTGGCGTTCTTGGGTTTGGCAGTGCTAGCTCTGGGTCTGTTCTGAAAGCTGGCTCTCCCTTGACGGTCTTCAGCGTGTCTCCGATCACTCCATCTGGATTGAGAGCGGTGTCTGATACAGCTTATGGGGCTTCTTGCGGTTGTGGCGATAAGCAAGTTAAATTTTTTTAATAACCCTAACCTTCCAGACAGCCGTATTTTCTATTAATAAACTATTAATAATAGTGTATTTCTGTGAAATAAATGAATTTGAATTAAAAAACTTATGTAGTGCCTGAAATTAAGTACTTTATTTAATTTAAATAATACCTTAGCGATGTAAAAGTAAAAACAAAATAAAATATTAAATTAATGAAATATCAATGATGGTTTTATTAGAATGTGATTGAGTGAGAGTGAGGCGGGTCGCTACATTCCCTACAATATGGTCGAGTGAAGCGATGGCTGGTTCACACGTCATGTCTGTGAACAGGCGCTGCCTTCGGGGACTGGTCAAGACAAGATATACCTACCTTAAATTTCTTAACATAACAATTAACAATCAACTTAGACAGTGGCACGGCACTAAATATAAGTATATACAATTTATTTAAAACTACCACACGGTTTTGTTATGGTGCCTTGCTTTTCTCTCTAGAGTTTTCTTGCCTTGTCTCCTAAATAGTTTTATATCTGGCACTTAGCCAGAAGGATATCTTAGACTTGTCATGCTCACTAAAATGTCTCTGGGGTAGTGGCGTGTGAGGCGGGTCGTTACATTCCCTATAATATGGTCGAGTGAAGCGATGGCTGGTTCACACGTCATGTCTGTGAACAGGCGCTGCCTTCGGGGACTGGTCAAGGAAAGATATACCTGACATAAAATATATGTATCAAAACGCAACAATTAACCTAGAAATTAGCACGGCACTAAAGAAATATATTCAAAACTGCCACGCGGTCTCGTGCTAGATGGGCGTCTTAAAGGCCACCTTCTATCAACGGGAGCGCGTGGTAAGTAACTTGCTTCTGAATGTATGTAACTTCCTACTTTTTTATATTTTTTTATATTTTTAAACCGGCAGACAGTGGTGACTGAGTTTGTTGCGGCGCTTCTTCTCAGCACTTGCCAAATGTTTGTCTCGAAGCGCTGGTAGGGCAAAAAAAAGAATGAGACATGTATAGGCTCCTTAAGAGCATTTGACGATTTGCAAGAACTAATTTAATTAGTCTAAACAAATAAAGATGATTTTGATTTTGATTTTGATTTTTGATTTTTGATAATGGAACGATTTAAGGACCCCGAAAAAAACAAATTTAAATTAGAATGAAGATATCCTTTTTGGGGCTCTTCTTCGTCCCGAACATAGCTTAATTGCCCTTCACTACTTCAGGACAACATGGGCTGGTTTTGAGAAGTATTAAGTTTTATCTTAGATTTATTTACTAATAATAAAGCTAGGAGATCCGAAGCGATGGATGGAGCTACCCCCGGATGACAGATGACAAAAAGGTTTCTCCAATTTTTTGTAAAACAGTGGACTTAGTTGACTAAGTTTCTTTCATTGCTTCTTGCTTGCTATCCCGATCCAAGGTGTAGGGGGACGTTTACAAAAAATCTTTAATTTTGAACATTAATATATTAGTACTTAAGTACCAAAAAAAAAATATAACGTGATTTTCATTTCAGTTTGTAATAGCTATTTACGTAGGTAGGTACCTAATTATTAATTAAAACATCGAATGTTTGTCTTTTTTGTATAATTGACACTCCATTTGACCATATCCGAGAAGTTTATATCGTTAAGAGTGAATATTGCTAAATATTCATATTGATTAAGCTTTACTCACGTAGTTACCACGAGTGAGTTAATATTGCAGCAATGCAATGGTACCAAACAGATTGTGATGAATACAAATATTGTGAATATGATGTATTGCCTTTAACATGATGAATCATAATCCTTTGTCGTGATCCAAATGTTTAACTTTTGCAATTATTAAGACTAACTCTCAGTATAATCCAGGTCTTTTCAAGGTGAGAGTGAATAGGCGCTTACAGGGCAGATATAATTATGTACCATCCTAGACTCCATCCCACTTAATGACTTAACATCAGGTGCGATTGTGGTCAAATACCTGCCTTGTTATGCATAAAAAAATCTAGTGAATATTATAAAGAACTGTAGATTGTCAACATTGGAAATGCTCGATATTTTGTTACACAATAGCATAGCGCCCTAGTTCTTGATAGCGAAAACAGTTTGGGTGTTTAAACAAAAACAAAACGTATAGGTAAAGTAAATTTATATTTATTAATCAGAGATCATTCACAGTTTAGGTCCAGCGCATCCGCAATTGCCAGCGATGGACACGACGCCACTGGCGGGGATGTAGCCGTTGAACGACACCGCGCCAAGCACTGGCAGCTGGCCAGTCACGATGGCAGTGCCACCAGCCTGCAGTGAGCCGCCGACCGCCAAATCTCCGTAGCCAGTGCCGCCGTAAGGTCCAGCGACAGGCAGAGTCGCTACAGCAGCCACGTCGGCGATTCCTGAACCGTATAGACTGGAGCCGGTGTAACCAACGTTGACTGGGGCACCAGTTATGACCTGACCAGCACCGTAACCGCTGGCCTGAGCAGCGCCTACTCCATATATCTGTGCATCGCTAAGTCCGTAGATCTGAGCATCACCAATGACTTGAGCACTGCCGTAGCCCAAAGCCTGAGCGCCTCCTACAGCTTGAGCACTGCCGTAGGCTTGGGCACTGCCATAGCCAAGAGCTTCAGCGCTGCCATAGCCAAGTGCCTGGGCGCTTCCGTAGGCCTGAGCACTGCCGTAGGCTTGGGCACTGCCGTAGCCAAGAGCCTCTGCGCTTCCGTAGCCAAGTGCCTGAGCGTTTCCGTAGCCAAGTGCCTGAGCGCTGCCGTAGCCAAGAGCCTGGGCGTTTCCGTAGCCAAGAGCCTGGGCAAGAGCTGTGGCATCGATGTCAATGTCAATGTCAACGTTACTGTAGCCATAGCCGTTGGCGACCGCGTATTGGGAGAAGGCGTTCTGGAATAAAAATGCATTTTGTAGAGATCATAATATAAATGTCTTTGGACAATTGATATGCATAAGATTCGGAGGAATTAAAGTTAAATAACATGGCATAGTGTGTAGTTCTAATAAGAAAGATTTTGCTACGATCAAAACTATAATACCGCGATATGGATTTGTATAAACTGCTGAATTTCGTCTGTGTTCCAGTCGCGTTGCAGTTGAAAATTATTACCACAATCGGGGTCCAGTTTTGCCCCTGGTTTGGCCCTAATTTTTTGCTCTAGTATAAACCCTTTCAAAGAATAGATCCTAAATAGTTTCCCTGTCACCCTTTAATTGATGGAATTGTAACAGTTTTCAAGTATTTACCTGGATCAGGCAAGCCTGAATGCAGATCAGGAGGAAGGCGTAAGAAGACATGGTTATTCGTTGCTGATGATTTCAGAATGCTTTCCTGTTGGCTACAGTTCGTTTTTATACAACATTGAAGTACTGAGATATTGGTTTCGAAATTTCACCTGCTTGACCTGTTTATCTTTCAATGAACACGTGAAGTCGCACGTATTATGTTTCAAGGATAATTCGAACGCTCGATATACTTACTTCAAGAATATTCATAGCTGAAGCTAGATTTTAGGGCGTTTTAAGTACGCCCACCCCACAAGGTGGACTGATGATCTCATAAAGGTAGCAGGAAGGTGCTGGATGCAGGCCGCTACCAACCGGGCGATGTGGAAATCATTGGGGGAGGTCTATGTTTAGCAGTGGACGTCCTGTGGCTGAAATTATGATGATGATGATGCACCCACAGAGAGTGCCAATGGGATCCTATAGTTATGTCTAAATTTCCCATCTGCCGGTCTATTAGCTATTTTATAAAGCGGTATAGTTGAAATTGCTACACATTGGGTATTTAGGTATTTCTTTGACACTAAAGTAGAAATCTAAATATATATGACATGGTGATGTATGAACGCACAGCCCAAACCACTGGACGAATGGGGCTGAAATTTGGCATGCAAGTAAAATAGATGTTATGACGTAGGAGCTAAGAAAGAATCTTACGAAACTCCACCCCTAAGGGGTAAATCGGGATCCACGCGTACAAAGTCGCAAGCGGCCGCTAGATTTTAAATAAAACTAAAAATAATTGGGCTTATTTGACTTTTGATTCAAGTAAAAGTATTTTGTAAACTTATCACATTGAGAATACAGTATTTTGGCACTTTAGGTAGTTAGACAACAATCTGACTACGTCATCAGGCGGTGAATAACATACTTTCAATTCACGTGCAAGCAAAAACACAACTTTTGCGAAAACAAACACTACATAAACTTGTAAAACTACATCTGCAAGATCCAAAATAAAAGTTATTGATGACAGAAATACGTAAAAATTGTCTAGCCGAATTTATATTTATGCTATAGATATTGTTTCAAAGTCAAAGTCAAAGTCAAAAGTCAAAGTCAAAATTTCTTTATTTGTTTAGACTAATAAATAGTTCTTACAAATCGTCATTTTGCTCTTAAGGAGCCTCTACATGTCTCATAATCTTTTTACCCTACCAGCGCTTCGAGACCAACATTTGGCAAGTGCTGAGAAGAAGCGCCGCAACAAACTCAGTCACCACTGTTATAAAAAGAGTGAGAATTTTGTAAGTTTTAATTTACAGAATGATGTCCGGAACCACTTAGTTACTGTATTCTATTTCTAGCTAGCTTGCTAGATAAAAATAAGGTAGTAAGAACCAGAAAGTTAGACAGCTTTATCACTGAAAAAGATCTCATCCTGTGGGCCAATAAATAATTCATCCTCCATACCTAAAGCCTTTTCATCATCATCATAATCATCATCATCATCATTTCAGCTATAGGACGTCCACTGCTGAACATAGGCCACTGCTTTCCATGTTAATCGATTGGTAGCGGCCTGCGGCTAGCGCTTCCCTGCTACCTTTACGATGTCGTCGGTCCACCAAGCCTTTTGTCATTGCGTAAAAAATCCAAACGTTTAAAAAAGATAATAGTTTTCTTCATTTCCTAACTGGAGATATCGGCCGTTCCACGTTGAGTTGTTGCGAAATAATCTATACTTTATACTATAAAATGTAGGTCAAAGTGTCACGGAACATCATTCAATTTTATCAACATGTCTTCCAAAGTTGCTTTCGTTCTTTGCGCTTCAGCACTTTTGGTGCAGGTAATGGAATTATTATGGTGTCAACTTACAATATTTTTCTAGTTTGTACAAGAGTCTATTGAGCCATCCTTAAAGTTCCTTAGGAAACCCTCCACTAGTTATAGTAGAGGAGGCTCATAGTCCAGCAGCGGACTGTAAAGGGCTGTTGATAATGATGATGAGGGATTCTTGTAACTATAACTCCCTTATTCACAAACGATGCTTGCTTGTCAAGCAGAAAAACGAACGCACAGCGTTGAATAGAGCTCTGTGACTGGTTCGTGTGTCACCCTGTGCGTCCACGCCACGCGCAATGTGAGACCTCATTCATAGTAATGTTTGTGAATAAGCACGTAAACTTCACGAATTCAAACTTGATTCATATCCTTTTTTGACTGTTCCTCTGTTGACGTCTTAAAAGCGATGCTTACTCCAATCCAGCATATCAACATCTCGTTCTTCTATGTATTATACCGATCTTGCCCCGAAAAGTCAAAACATTTTTATTTTTAAGCGATGAAGCGATGTTGCAAAAAAAACTTGCAAGTAGTTTGTTCACAAACACACAGTTTAACTTTCCCCCGGGACAAACTTGACCTTCACTAGTTGGGTTTTCATTGGCGGTCAAGCTGTAGATCCTGGCTACACAGGAGTTGCAGTGGTGGGAACGAGAGGTGGGAATAGTCACGTAGCAAGTAGGTAGTATTATAAAATATGGCAAGAGAAATGGTTACAGTTCCACAGTCAGATTTTCAGTATCTCCTAATGACAGAAACATTCCCTTTGATTAAAATTTTTATGGTTTCTTTCCAGGCTGTCTTTGGGCAGTACATCCCGGAAATCATCATCAGCGGTGGCGGCTCTGCCAGTGCCTCTGCTAGTGCCAGTGCCAGTGCTACCAGTCTGGGCGGAGGCTTGGCCTATGGCTCTGGCTTGGCGAGCGGTGTTGGCTTGGCCAGTGGACTTGGCTTGGCCAGCGGACTTGGCTTGGCGAGCGGTTATGGCTCGGCTGGACTTGGATTGGGAGCCGGTACTGTAGGATATTCTGGCTCTGCAGCTGGTAATTTTCTTTTTAATTTAGTAACTTAAATAAATTCTACATTAGAACAGGCGTTCTGCTGTCTGCGCTTATATCTTTGAAACTACGCAACGGATTTTTGTGAAGTTTTCAGTAATATATAGAGTGATAGAAGGGAGAGGGAGGGAGGAGGACAAGAGGAAAGTTTATACGAGTATGTTAAAAACATTTTACCTGTGAGAAGCCCCTGTGGGTTGCTAAAATAAAACCTCGCTAGGAACTCATGCAATGGGCTGCACATTTAGAAAATCTTTAGTTTACATGGTAGGTGTATTCCTATTGGGAGGACCTAGCAGGTCGATCATCAATTTATTGTTATTCTTCATTGTTTTAGGTGCTGGAGCTAGCGGCATTGTTGTTGGAGGTGGAAGAAGCGTGGCCGTCACCCCACTTCTCGTCACCGCCATCTCCCCCATCGGTCCCACCGGCCTTGCCGTCGCTTCTGAAAATGCCATCGAAGGAAACCTGCTGGTGACCGGTCAGCTGCCGTTCCTGAGCGCTGTGGCCTTCGAAGGCGCCCTGCCCACTGCTGGGTCTGGCGTGGCCACTTGTGGATGTGGTAGCGGACAGGTCGGCATCACCAGTGAAGGTTTCGGCCGTCCTAACATCTACTACTGAAGCGAAGATTTAAAGTGAAAGAAATAAAGAGCAACTGCATATTATGAAACAGTTTTATTTAGTAACTAGCGGCCGCCCGCGACTTCGTACGCGTGGATTCTATTTTACCCCCTTAGGGGTGGGGTTTCGTAATATCCTTTCTTAGCGGATGCCTACGTCGTCATAACATCTACCTGCATGCCAAATTTTAGCATCGCCCAGTGGTTTGGGCTGTGTGTGTTTGGACCTTTTGTGATGTTGATGATGATTAAACTGATTATACCTAATACTTATTATTAATATAACTTACAATAATAAAACTCTGAGCTCCCAATATATTTTTTTAAACATTTTTCATTTATTTAAGTATATAGCACATACGAACTTTAATATCCCTATCTCTAAAATATAAATATTAAAACAACATATCTAAGTGTTTATAACTCTATGAATAAACAGTTGCTAAATGCTTATAATTAATGCTGTCGACCAATCAGAGAAAAGTGTATTAAGTGACGGATAATAGTGTACCGTCAAATAGTACACTGGGCAACGATTGGCCCATTTGTGGATGATTTTACTTGTTGCAATTTAGTTAATTATTAAATTACGGCTAGGTACCGTAAGTTGACCAATTAGCTAAAATTCAATGCGTTAAATAGTACATTTCAACTGCCGTTTATTATTTTACGAGAGTTGATCAACTACCTAGAAAATTGATCAACTTACGAGTCTTGTTATTTTCCGGTGACACATACATTGGTTTGGAACTAACGTAGCTTAGGTACCTCAAACTGATCATTATTTTTACCCCTCTAAGAAAGTTAAATAATTAATGTTTATGCCTGTTAGAAGCGGGTTTACCGCAATTAGACTCAGGGATTGAACCAGGAATCTTTGAATCGGCAATATCTTTAGGCTCTTATGTTTTCCTTACCTAACATAGCTTTTATTTTATTTTTATTTTATTAGGAAAACATACGGCTTATAATATAACACAAGGCTTTTATTCACCTGCTTGATTTTTAGTCGGTTGCACTGTCACTCAAGAATAATGCTTTAGGGCGACAATAGGATAATAGACTAAGATCTAGTGAACTCCAGACCTACGTCATTTTATAAAAGCTAAAAGTTTCAGGGCAGCGTATGCTCCCAATATAGGTTAGAATGTTGGTGCATCATGAAGTTTGGATCATCGTGGCTTTGGCAGCTGCCCTCAAAATATTGTCTGGCAAGGAGTTAAAACTGAAAAAGCTGTCTGACTGTATCAAATGTACAAATACTATATGTACATAAAAATAAGCTTTTATAGTACATCGTAAGTAGAATTAGGTCAGGTCGCAAAGGTCACCGTAATAGTTAGACTTGCGTTATCTAAATATATAAAAATGAAACCCGTTTTCCGTTGTCACGACATAACATGAAAACGGCTTGACCGATTTGGCTGATTTTTTTTTTGTAGTTTTCTAATACTCTGTACAAGGTTTTTACGGAAAAAAATATAAAGAAAATCTCTACGCTAAGGCGGTACGAAGTTCGCCGGGTCAGCTAGTACCATATAAAAGCATATTACTCATGTAACAAACTCACAAACCTATCTTCTTTATTAGTATAGACGAAAGATGAATGCGTCTAAATAAAGATTGTACGAGTAATTGTATACAGTGACCTTGACATAGAAACCTAACAGCTGAGTGCTGAACTGCTGACCGATACTCTTTATACTCGGTCAGCAGTCGACGACATTGATGCTAAATCATCAAGAATTTGAAACCATTGGTAGTGAAAAGAATTCACACCTATTGTAAACGCAAGAGTAACTTTGTCTGTCTGTTACGTGTTTACGAATAAGCTGGAGGATCAATAGATGCCTTTTGGAATACTGGTAGAAGATAGGATAACAGGTAATTATTTTAATTTATAATTAATATAAAGCATCTATGAAGATGTCGTGAAAGAAATAATGAATGAATAATATCGTTTTTAAACCTTTTTTTTTCAGTCTAGTTTTTGTTATTTACTCACTCATCACGAATTTACTCACTCATACACATAAATCACACACACATAAATCTCAGAAATTACAAGTGCTAGGAGTCTCAAATTTTGCATTGGAGTTCTTTTTAGAACGTAGGTGCTCACTAAGACGGGATTTTGCAAAATTCAACCTCTAAGGGGGTCAAACGGGGTTCACGCGTACGAGACGCGAAGGTGGTCGGCCGCTATTTGTTTAAAAATCCACATGCGTATTTTATGATAAATCAGTCTTAAAAACTTTCTATGACAGAAAGAAATTCACGCAAGCGAAACCGAGAGCAAGAGCTAGTTTGAATATAAAATGATTATTTGCGATGGTGGTATAACGACTGTGTAGTTACTGTAATACTATAGGGCGAATCCTACTAGGTGGACCGATGATCTGGTGAAGGTAGGAAGTACCTTGATGAGGGCAGCGCAGTGCCGCAGTACCGGTCGTTATGGAAATCCTTGGGGGAGGCCTTTATCCATAAGTGGACGTCATTTGGCTGCAACGAATCCAGGTGGTCAGAAGTAAATTCAAATTCAAGGTAAAGTCACCTCTTCAGGCCGCTACCAGCCCGGCAACATGGAGAGCATTGGGGGAGGCCTATGTTCAGCAGTGGACGTCCTGTGACTGAGATGATTAGTGGCACTGGCACTATGCACTCTAAATTGAAGCTGCGAAAGAAATGTCTCTCCGTTGCCTCGGAGGCGACATGGCCTCCGACTGTGCCTGAGGATCTTGGATAGGATCCACTATTGGACACAAAAGCGTGTTTACATGTGTAATTTTTGCTCTTTTAAGTTACAAGTTAGTATAGAAAACAGTTCTCTTTAGGTAAAATGAAGGGAAATATTCAATATAATACACCAGGATATTGATTCAAATTGTCTTTATTTATCATCAGGTAAGCTCTTCAGTTAATTGATTCATTCAATTCCCTCCTTACAGTCTCACGCCACCGCAGGGGCAGTTGCCAGCGATGGACACGACGCCACTGGCGGGGATGTTGCCATTGAACGACACCGCACCAAGCACTGGCAGCTGGCCGGTCACGATGGCGGTACCACCGGCGTTGAAATCGCCTCCGACGGCCAATTCTCCGTAGCCAGTACCGCCGTACGGGCCAGAGACTGGCAGAGCGGCAACGGCGGCAACGTCTGAGGGGGCGTATCCGCCAGTGAAGCCGCTGCCAACGTTGCCTGCTGACCAGCCACCAGCGTTGATGCTGCCAAGTCCGATTGCGTTGGCGTTGCCAAGACTGACTAAGTTGCCGCCGCCAATGTTAGCACTACCAAGTCCGATAGCGCCTCCGCCAAGTCCGATGTTAGCGCTGCCAAGTCCGATGGCGCTGGCGCCGCCAAGTCCGACATTGGCGCTGCCATAACCGATTGCGCTGGCGCCGCCAAGTCCGATGTTGGCGCTGCCAAGTCCGTATCCAGAGGCGCCGACTCCGTAACCGCTGAGACCTCCAGAGATTCCGTAGCTGAGAGCGTCGACTTCAACGTCCATGGGGTTGTAGTAGCCTAGCACTTGCGAGAAGGCATTCTGAAAAAAAAATGGTGAATGGGTGGCACTGCTCAGTTTGCTCTTGTTTTTATTTTTTCGTCTTCCATTATTATGTGCCACTGTCATGTCATGTCTATATAATTGCCTGTATTTGTGTGATGTCCATTGTAATAAATGTATCTTTCTTTCTTTTAATGTTTCTGATTGGATTTCCAGGTCTAAAAAAGTGCTTCAAAGAAGTTGCGATTTGTAATAATTGACCAGATACAAGCTACCCAATTTTAAAGAAAGTTTTCATAGAAAAAGTTTAAAAAGAGAATTAAATTAGACAAAGTACTTACCTGGATCAGGCAAGCCTGGATGCAGAGGAGCAAGAAAGTGAAGGAAGACATGATTGTTTCAAATACTGAATTTTGAATATCATTTGGATTCTTGGACCTAGTATTTATACAACTTTAGTTCTTTGTTATGAAATGGCACGCTTTATCGTGTGTTCCTTATCTGCCACGCGACAGTGGCGCCACAATAATTTTCCAGGAAGTGACACTATTTCAGGTCTTTTAATTATTATTAATTTTGATAAAACAGTTTGAGGGTGTATTCCTAAAGAAAACATGAACCAATTTTTAATTGCATTACAATTGGAGCAACATTGTAGGTTGATAACAAAGTTGGTGGTTCGTATATAAACCACTGTCGATGCAACAGAAATCATTCTTGTTTTGTCAATCAATACAATAATTAACATGGCAGCTAAAATTGCATTCGTCTGTGCTTTGGCACTTTTTGGCCAGGTAATTAAAATTTAAACAAAAATCACTAGATATTTTTAAAGTGTTGCATATTTTCTTGTCAATTAAAAAACTACTGTAAACAAAATACTAAAAACTAGAGCTAGAAGTCATTTGTTTTCCTTTAAACAATTTTGGCAATGAAAATATATTTTCAGCCGTTAATTAATATTATAAACAATAAAATTGTCATCAGTAGAGACAGCAAAACAGCGAAAAGCACTTGCAAAGTCCAGTAAACAATTAAAAGTTTTCTGGTTATACTTAAAATTCATGAAGTTTTAATAAAATTAATTATTATTCTAATTTATTACAGGTTGCCTTCGCCCAGTACTACCCATCTGGTTCTTACGTCACTGGCAACTCGATTGTCGACAACGACATCTTCATCAACGGCGCCGGCAGTGCTTATGCATCTGCCTCTGGCAGTGCTTACGCCTCTGGCTCTGGCAGTGCTTATGGCTCTGGCAATGCTTACGCCTCTGGCTCTGGCCTCGCTGTAGGCGGCGGCAGTGCTTACGGCTCTGGGCTCGCTGTGGGTGGACTTGGCCTTTCAAGCGGACTTGGTCTCTCAAGCGGTCTTGGCCTCTCAAGCGGACTGAGCCTTTCCAACAACCTTGGCGCCATTGGCGTGACTGCCCCTGCTACCATTCAGGTTGGCGGTAATTCTGGATACAGCGTCGTGTCTGGCGGTCCTTTGTCTGTCACTGCCATCTCCCCCATCGGTCCCACTGGTCTTGCCGTCGCTTCTGAGAACGCCATCGAAGGAAACCTGCTGGTGACCGGTCAGCTGCCGTTCCTGAGCGCTGTGGCCTTCGAAGGCGCCCTGCCCACTGCTGGGTCTGGTGTGGCCACTTGTGGATGCGGCAGCGGACAGGTCGGCATCGTCAGCGAAGGTTTCGGCCGCGTCTACTACTGAAGTGGGATGCTATGATAAAGACAATAAAGAATATACAACTGAATACTTTGATTATTTTTTAACCATTTTACGAGTAAGTAGGTAATTTTTTTGCCATTTTCATTTTTGTAAATATTGAAAATGCCAATAATAAACAATTTAGAAAGATCTTTTAAAACTTTAACGACAAGAAGTAGGTATTTACAAAAATCGCGTTATGGGAGCATTATCTATTTTCTTTTTGTATTTTTTTAGTAATTATTGCTAGAGCTGCGACAGAAATTAGTAACATCATCTGTGAACAACTGTCATGGATGCGCTTGCGGTGTAGCCACAGGTGTAGCTTCATCTATCACGTTAAATGAGATACAGTAGCGAAATCTTAGTAATAGGGTGCCGTTTTTTAAATAAAATAAATAAAAATTAAAATGATTTATTTTCAGACAAAAACAGTCCATATTATTTTGTGAGTAACAATTTGATCTTAATAACTATGTTTTAAGGTTAGATGCATTTTCACACCATAATTAGAAAAAGACGGTTAAGTTTTAAGTAAAAGCGATTTAATAACTCATTTTAGTTGACCTTTAGATACTCCCTCAATAAATGTAGTGCTTAGCCCTTCAGTTTTATTTTATTATTTGCTAGTGACCCGCCCTGGATTCGGGTGTTAAAACCTTCCTCTTGAATCACTCTATCGATTGTTGAAAACTGCATTAAAATACGTTGAGTAGTTTCAAAGATCTGAACATACAGAGAAGTGTGACTTTGCTTTATATTATTTAATTTTATTTAAAGACTTTATTGCAAACACATAAAAATGATCAGTACAAAAAGCTTAATGCAGCGATGTGGCATTCTCTCCCAGCTGACCTTGGGCACAACAGTATGTAAAAGATTTATTCGTCTATCGTTTCACCGTAAAGTATTAAAGCTCAACCCACGATAAAAAAAGAAGAACTTTAGTAGGTTTTTTCTGCAGTAAATGCTAGCTACAATAAACGGTAGGTAAACTGTATGACACGAAAACATGTTAAAAATAACCGTAAAGAATGTTAATCAAGCACAATGCTGCTGTGTATTTCTGATGATTGCAATTTATGCGTTGCCATCAATAAAATTCATTATGTAGAGTCTTGAGCGAGTTGATTGTTTTAAATACGAGTAACAATAAAATAAACTAAGTTAGGTATTTGTATCACATTCATTCATATTCGCTTACTATGTAAGTAAGCGTGTGATGTCTAGTATTTATAGGTATTTTTAATATTTTTTCAAAAAAATTAAATTGTCTTATCAGCAAAAAGCCGAAATCTTAACAGTTTGCTTAAAAATATTCTTGGGTTTCGGAACTAATTGTCTTGTCTAATTGAGTAGAAGCAGTGCAAGAAATTGCGCTTATTCAGACGTTTTCATAAAAGTTGTGTACCTACTGTTGAAGGATGACGCGTTTTTTAGTGTTTAGTGACGAAAGCTGTTTCAAAAACTGGAAATAGGCTTTAATAATGAAATTTGATATAGGAAACAGGCCTTCGAGTCCTGGTAAAGACAAGATTTTTAATAAAATTAGTTGGTTTTCAGTTTTTACCAAAATAAACTAAAAGATCTCCTTTCATATTTTGTTGTTATTTCTTAAAATAAAATTATTAGTAACACTGCATTAATTTAAAAGTTAACTTTTGTATCCCAAATAAAAGGTTAAGGCAAGGTCTTTAAACTCGTAATGAAATTAACCAGGAGGCGTAGGTATAAAGAGTTTAAATTAAATACAATTAAAAGAAAAAGATCGGATAAGACTTAGTAAAATTAAAACTCTATGTATAGTCCATAATTTCTTTATTTGTAATTCAAATCACTACCACTTCAGTAGTAGATGGAGGGGCGGCCGAAACCTTCGCTGACGATGCCGACCTGTCCACTGCCGCATCCACAAGTGGCCACGCCAGACCCAGCAGTGGGCAGGGCGCCTTCGAAGGCCACAGCGCTCAGGAACGGCAGCTGACCAGTCACCAGCAGGTTTCCTTCGATGGCGTTCTCAGAAGCGACGGCAAGACCGCTGGGACCGATGGGGGAGATGGCAGTGACAGCCAAAGGACCTCCAGACACGATGTTGTAGCTTGAGAGTCCGCCAAGAGTGGCGCTGCTGATGGCAGGAGCGGCGACGCCAATGGTGCCAAGGTTGTTGGAAAGGCTCAGTCCGCTTGAGAGGCCAAGTCCGCTTGAGAGGCCAAGTCCGCTTGAGAGACCAAGTCCGCTTGAAAGGCCAAGTCCACCCACAGCGAGACCGGAGCCGTAAGCACTGCCGCCGCCAACAGCGAGGCCAGAGCCAGAGGCATAAGCGCTGCCAGAGCCATAAGCGCTGCCAGAGCCAGAGGCGTAAGCACTGCCAGAGGCATAAGCACTGCCGGCACCGTTGATGAAGATGTCGTTGTCAACAATGGAGTTGCTAGAGACGTAAGATCCAGACGGGAAGTACTGGGCGTAGGCAGCCTGAAAAAAAAAGAATAAAATTAAGTTTTCATAATTATTATGTATTATTGTAAGCAGAGTTCCTTCTGGTTTGAAATGTTTGTGTATTAGTCAGAGCATTTTATTTACCTGGCCGAAGAGTGCCAAAGCACAGACGAAAGTGATTTTAGCTGCCATCTTTGTTATTCCTTGGTTGACAAAACAAGAATGATTTTCTTATTACCCATCGCAGTTTATATACTACTTTCCTGTCTATCACTTGAAAAACGTGTGCCCCATATTAAGTGATATGAAAAAAGTTTCAAAATTTCTAATATCATTATTTTTCATAAGGTAATTAAGAAAGACAAACAATTCAACAGTTAGAGTTATCGAAGTAGTACCAACATGCGAGTACATGTTGATAGTGTGTAACTTACGAAAGTATGATAGTGTGCCATTTCAAAATGAAACTTCAAGTCGTATAAATAGTGTGCCCTAAAAACAATTTAGCATTCAAAATTTGATATTTGAAGTAAACATGTCTTCCTTCTCTTTCTTACTCCTCTGCATTCAGGCTTGCCTGATCCAGGTAATTCTAGTTTTTAATTAGCCTATTATCTAAAAAAAAATTTTCTAGTTTCAGTTATAAAGTAGTTAGTTAAAACTCTGTATCGCAGTAACTATTATCAAATTAAAATATTTATTCAGAAATTAACTTCCTTACTAATAAAACTTACACGCTCGTTGAACAGTGTTTTAAAGTGACGTTTAGTATGGAAATGTCATTTTAAAACAGTGTTCAACAACTGTGTAACTTTATATTAGTAAGGGGGTAAATTGTTTTTTAGATTTTTTGCAAGAAAATTAAGTCTAAATAATATTTAAGATAACAATACATACTCTCTCTCTATCTCTTACTTTAAAGTTCATTGATTAAAGCCCTTCAAGTCTCAAGCCAACCAATTTAATTTTTCAATTAAAAAAGTTTTTAGGACCATGTTTTAGGCATAAGGTTTTTAATTACTAAAGAAATGATGTTTTGTTCCAGAATGCCTTCTCGCAAGTGCTAGGCTACTACAACCCCATGGACGTTGAAGTCGACGCTCTCAGCTACGGAATCTCCGGAGGCCTCAGCGGCTACGGAGTGGGTGCCTCAGGATACGGACTTGGCAGCGCTAATGTTGGACTTGGCGGCGCCAGCGCTATCGGTTATGGCAGCGCCAATGTCGGACTTGGCGGCGCCAGCGCCATCGGACTTGGCAGCGCTAATATTGGTGGCGGAAACATAATCGGTCTTGGTGGCGCCAACGCAATCGGACTTGGCAGTGCCAACGCAATCGGACTTGGCAGCATCAACGCTGGTGGCTGGTCCGCAGGCAACGTTGGCAGCGGCTTCACTGGCGGATACGCGCCCTCAGACGTCGCCGCCGTTGCCGCTCTGCCAGTCTCTGGCCCGTACGGCGGTACTGGCTACGGAGAGTTGGCCGTCGGAGGCGACTTCAACGCTGGTGGTACCGCCATCGTGACGGGCCAGCTGCCAGTGCTTGGTGCGGTGTCGTTCAATGGCAACATCCCCGCCAGTGGCGTTGTGTCCATCGCTGGAAACTGCCCCTGCGGTGGCGTGCAGCTGTAAAAACAAAATTGACAATGAATTAAAGATTGAGTGAATTGAACTTTGTGTTTCTGTACTTTTATTGTGGGCTAGGAAATTATTATAACATTAGATGCCCAGGCTCAGTTTATGGTGGCTTGTTTTTAAAACCTCAATTCCTCCGTCTACAATGGTTGCAGTTACATAATATTTCGCATTAAACCATTGTTGGTAGTGCCAGGCCTGGCTCACTCCGCGCGGTACATCCGATAATTACCTACAGCGAAGTGCCCCGCCGGCGGGTATTATACCTAGGGCACTATTTAAGTTGTGAGCCTCGACAACATAACGTGTTGTTAGACGACATCTGATACTTTTAATGAAAAGTTTGACATTTTTGCCTACAACCTTATTCAAAACTTTTTATCATTTGAGCACGTTTTGTATTATTAACATTGAATTGAAAATTATCGTGACTACAAAAACATGGAATTGACTTGCGGAAATTTTCGCGCGAAGATTTATTATGACTTTCGACGTGGTTAATCAATACAAAACTGAAGCGGTCAGCTAAATTTATCTTTTGGTGATAAAGATCTGTCCTTTACCATTGTAAAACGCTAGTTTAACAAATAATATTGTATGTCATTGGCTCACCAGTGAACTTTGCGAAAGTCGTCCAAAATGACTAATAGTGGCGGAAAACATTGATGTTGTCAGAAAAATGGAACAGAAACCTCGTCATGTGATATATCGTAGGATTGAGATAATCCTAGGCATTAATTCCACTAGCAGTAATAAAATATTGTATGACCATATTATGGTTAATACGTTTTTTACTCGCTGGATGTCCCAAAAATGTTCAAACGCTCAATAGGACGCTTGAGTCGTTTAGTCCTTGAAAATGTTTGATAAATACGTTTAAAAAGCTTTAAAAGCCGTTTTTAAAATTGTGACAGTTGACGAATTAAGGATCTATGCATAATGATCCTGAAAATAAAC